AAAAACGAGAATTATCTATTACTGATAAATGATCACTTTAAAGAGCACATGCCCAAGATTTCCAGCCACTAAATCCTCTGGGGCAGGAAAGAACATCTGCAGATATGAATGATCTTACATAAAATAAACTAAGTAGTAAATACCAGATTTTTCATTTCAGGATAAAGTGTTTACAAACTTGAGCAAGCCTCCAAGTCTCACAGCTGTTGGGCACAGCTGCTTCCTTTTACAATCTCTACACACGAGGCCAAGTTCACACCATTCCAGAGAAATATCAAGGTAACAGGAATGGCAGAGTCTGAGCTTCGGGCCTTGCTCCAACTGTCCCTCTTATCTCCAACAGTAATTCAGAGCTGAAGGTTTTTTTTTTTTTTTTTGAGACCCATTTTATTTAGCTTGTTTCTAGATTTGTTTCTTTGAAAGGTGATGTGGTAAATGAATGATTCTTTTTCTTGTGTCACAAATCTTTTCAAGAGCAACAACAATAACAAGAAAGATATGGAGTCTTTCCTCATGAAAGGGTACGTTGTCTTTTAAGGCAAAATGTCCTGAAACATGCGGGGCATGGAAGCAAGGTAAGAAAATGATATAGAAGAAAAAGAGAGAGAGAATGAATACAAATGTCAGACATAGAGGACCGTGTCAGCACGAGGGCTAAGCACCAGTCAGCGCAGTTAGTGACGTGCGTAACTGAGTGTTGGAGGTTATGTCCCTCGTGAAGAGAAGCAGGCTTCAGAAAGGTGGGTTCCGTTTGGGAAATGGTGCAGTTAACAGAGCCTTTAGAAGAAGCTAACCAGGATGTAAAATCTGCTGTTGTTTTCAAGCATTCTCATGTCACGCTGTTCTACAGATCGACTCCTAAATCTCTGTGCAACACTTGTGGAATTGACACGTTTATTCCCCATGTGCACCAAAGGATCCAGAGACGGGAGAAGAAATCACACTTCACACTAAAATTATTTCTCAATTTTTTTTACTAAAAGAATAAACTTTTATTAAGCGCTGTAAGTTTCTTTCCATCAGCATTAACAGAACAACAGACCAGATTCCATCACAGAACAACTCCTGAGGCAACCTCTTTCCTTCCTGAAACATTTCCATTGACTCCTGTAGTTTCCCCAAAGAAGCATCCATTCAAACTTACATTAATGAACTATGGAGCTTTTGTGGTGAGGTGGGCCAAAAAGGCAGGGAATTTGGAATCTTGGAGTGGGGAAGAGAAATACATATTATCCGTCCACTAAACACACTGTCAAGAGCACAGGAGAGGATAGGATCACAGGGAAAAAAACAATGAAAGAATTTCTTACTTTTGTCAATAACATCACTTATTAGGGAGCACTAAAAAAAAAATCACTGACTCATTGTAGTTAAAGTTCTTTACCTAATGTGTTAGTCTAAAAATAGAATAGAAGAAAATAAAAGGCAGGAGGGGGGAAAGTGCCTTCTGGGAAGTAATATAAAGTCATCAGATTTGGCAGGGTTATGAGAGATTAATCAAACCGGAAATACTTAATTTGCTTCATTTACATGAAAATTCACTAGTCATTAGTTACTACCAACACGGACAAAAAGAGCATCTATTAAAGTACAGGGGCAATGTCAAAAGCTGAAATGGGCACCCTAGCACAGGGGATGTTTTATTTTGCTTTTTTACTTGGAACAGATGATCTTGCAGAAAATATGACATTGTTTTCCTAGAACACCAAAATAACCTCTGACAATATCGAAGATAATTAGCAGCAATAGGAGAATGGGTGCACTGAGCTCTCTACCTGACCAGCACACGATTGCAATAAGCCAAGGGAAAAAGAAAATAGAAAATCAAATGAGAAGATGCCAAAGTCACAGGAGGGAGAAAAGAGAATGACACACAATGGAACCGTGAAAACTACCCCCCACCTCCCCGCAACCCCCAATCCTAAGCATATTTAGGAAATATGCACCAGGAAGGGAACAAGTATAATGTTTAAACCTTAGTAAAATTATACTACCTACTTACAACTGTGGTCTACTTGTATTGTCATTTCAAAGGAATGGGGAGGGGGTGTCTTAGTGGTTGAAATGGTAGCATTGACATGCCACAGGGGCCTTCTTGGCTCCAAAGGACTGAATCACCATAACTAAACTTCTACTCCCACTTTCATTCTACCCTTCATAAGCACTGATGCCCTCCCACCCCCAGGCTTTAATCACCCTCCCTAATGTCTCTTCCAGCGTGTTTCCCAGTGCTAACAACAACAAAAAAAGCTAGTGTGACTTGGCCAACAATGCCAGAAAATCAAGATGGAAACCAAAAAAAAAAAAAAAAAATCAAATGTCCCTAGCCAAAGCAAGTACTGCTTCTTGGGCTTCAAAGTCTACCCAGAGTCCTACTGGCTCAGAAGAAACACAAAGCAAGGGAACAGAAGTTTGTCAGGCCTGGTCCAGATCAGACTGGCCATTGAATAAGGGTAGAAATGACAGGCCGACCCCAAGATACACCAACAGAAATCAAGAATGGTATATGTCCTTGGGGGTCAGCAGCTATGTATAACCAGGGTGTTTTTGCTTGTGACCCTCCAAAGGAAAGGGGTCATCTCTATGTGTTCCCACATGACTTTGATCAAGAGAGGCCACTTCACAGTCAGAAATGGGACCTCCAGTGAAGGATGCCAGGCTCCTCAAGTGAAACAGCAGAGACCACGGCTCCACCTTCCCTGATGGCTTCTCCAATTAGGCAAAGTTAATCTCCCAGTGAGGAACCTTGTTTTGCTGGCTTTTAATTTAAGTTGTGTATTTTTGGCAGATAAATGAAAATCTAGAAATGTGGCCCTTTAAGGTTCTCTCTTAAAACCTTCCAAAACTAAAATGTTGACTTAGAACAAGAAATCAAGGTTGAAAGCAAGTCAACTTGTTTCACCCTGGGCCAGGCCAGAGGAAGGTAGAGTTTGTGCAGAAGGGAGAAAAGCAGGCCTTTTGGCAAACTGGAATAATCCCTGTCAAAGCAGCAATTTGACCTCTCGAAGTGAATGTCTACAAAATATCTTTTTACCATGGCGAGAGTTAATAATACTGTCATCTGAGTGATCAGAGTCACAATGCACAGAAACAGGAAGCAAACCGATCTTACCACTTAACTCCGCATACTTCCCTATTAGAGACTGGATATATACACAAGATATTTATCAATCACAGCTCAGTGGTTCTGATTATTTGTAGAGCTTCAAAGCCCTCTGGAGCCCTCCACACTCCAGAAAGAAAATTTCAAGCCATCTAAATTAGTTACTAATTCCCTCCCTTGCTGGATACAGAAGTCCTAGCCTTGAAGACGTTGTGAAAGGTCAGCAGGTCCAAGACAAGGGGAACCAAGTCAGGGGAGATGATTCCAAACAGGCTATTTTTCTGTAACTCTGTCCCTGCTAATTAACTGGCTAGGTGGACATGCTTGTCATACATAGGTTTATGGAAGAATGATCTGGGCATGGGGCAAGGCATTCCAGAGTTCCCTGCCCTACAAACTACGGGTTCTTATAAACTGGAACAGACTTGGAATGAAACAGTCTGACTCTTTCAAGTTCTTATGGTATGGTCATTGCCAGTGGGCAGTGAGCACACAGTCTTCTGGTTGTCTGGGGAAAACAAAATCATCACAAGGACCTGTGGAGGGTTAATGTGCATGGAGTTTTTCCAAAAGAGAGAACCTGCTACCTACAAGTCTAGTTAGTTGTATTCCTGTAGAAATGGTACTTTATGGGCAAGAATATCACAAAGCCCAAAAGGAGGTGTGTGAGGCTGCAAGCCTCAATCTCTGAACGTAGACATAATGCTAATTTGTTGCTAGCCATGTTTTCATCCCTCATAATTTATCAAGGAGGGAAGTTGGAAATGCAAGGTTGTCTCAAGATCATCTCCAGCAAAGAGGAACAGCCTCTTTATCCTGGGCACATCCTGGCCACCAAACGGGACTCAGGATCTTGAACAGAATACTTCTCAAGGCCCAGGCTAGAGTCCTCTGAAGTCTTCCTTGGAAAGCAAATGAAAAGATCCAGTAGTCAAAATGTCAATGAACAAATGAAATAATCTAGGCATGTAAAATCAAATTTGTCAGTTGCCTCACACTTCCCTACCTCATATCTTTCCAATGCTAGGCCTCTCTCCTTCAGGGATTCATGTCAAGTAATCACTAGTCAAACTGACTCTGGAGTTTCAGAAGAGATTTTTCTCCAAATTGGCTGAAAGCCCTTTCGAATGTTAATTGCCTTCCCACCCCCTTGTGCTCTCCAAACCTGCAGAAGGAATTGCACAGCTCTTCCCAATCCCATTCCAACTTCCTGTTTTCACCATATGGGATGTGAGGGCTCTGTTCAAGATTCAGCTGGTAGCGACCCAGGTGTGTGTTGTTCTGAACAGGCAATCTCTGGAAAGTACTTTTTTTTGTCCGATTTAGAAAAAGCCCATGTTCTCATAACTGTGATGGGCTGTGACTTAGTAAGGAGTTCAGATTTAAAGTGTGGTCTTTTGAAACCCACCACTCCATAGCAGTGGAAACAATTCTGGGAAATTCAGTAAATCTTTTGGGACATCACCATGTATGCATGTATGCATGCGTATACATATACATGTATATGTATATACACACAAACACACTTATATATATATATAAAATATGTATAGATAAATAGATCTGTCTCTTTATATAAAGGGTACGTGTACGCATATACACTCATACATATGTACACCCACCCATTCAAGCATCCACTCCCACACACTCGAACACACATCTACACACACACACACACACACACACACACACAATCTTTTTGAGTCCCTTTCATACTCAATTTCATTATATCGATTACCACCCTTTCCGGGTGTGGGCAGCGAGAAGTGGTTGAAAGGCAGGAAAAATCTGCCCGGCACTTTTCCGACTCAGTTGAATCTCCCAATACAAAGGCCATTGGTAGTTATTTTTAAAGTGTATAAGACAAAAAACTAAAATAAAATAACCAACACTGTGTCACTTCTTTGAAAACATCTACCAATCTGATTGGTAGGCCAGAGCTAGAGGTGGTGGTATAAAATTATGGGGTGAATAATTTGGGAGGGGAAAGAAGAGGCAGATGATAACGATTCTATGGCAAGAAGCCACAGACAGCTGTCCCCGAAATCCCATCTGATGACCATGGAACTCTGTAGCTGAGTATCCTGGTAAATATTCAGAAAACCGAGGCTGGGATTTTGCTCTAGTAGCTTGCATGACCACATCCAATTGCTAAGCACTATTGCCTTCACAGGCTCCCAGAGGGGGAGATAGTGAAAATATTGGCACTACATATTCCATTGGAGAATAGGAACTATCCCTGTTGCTGCCACTCATCTTTTACCAAAACTTCCCCCTCAGTCTGAGCCTGGAAGCCCAGCAAAAGAGAGACAATATGTTGCAGCAGGACAGCTCATCAAAATGCAGTGGGAAACCCAGGGTAAACATTTACAGCCTCCTCTAGTTTAGGCCTAGAATCAGAAAAGTACAGGTTTTCCCCTCTTCCTAATCAGGTGAAGCCATCATCAGGTCGTCACTCCTCTTTCTGCTGTGCCAGAGTTTCCAGCTTCTGCTCTTGTAAGTGGTTCTTTTCCCCATTCTTCCCGGGGAGGCAGCGGTTTCCACTACTACACATGTTGCGGTCTCTGGATAAGGCACATTGTGATGGAGCAGGAAGACGATCACTCTTTTCTTCCTTGATCAATGTGCCATTGTTTCCATTTAACTGTAAGCGTGGCCGCCCTGGATGAAGCTCCAGGGGTTTAGAGACTCCATCTGTAGAGCCCTGTCAAAAACAGAGATTCAGAGATGCTATGTGAATGTAACATTCCATAACCTGTCTCCAGCATGGTTGCAGGCTAACAGAAAAGTTGCTTCTGTTTTGCAAAACTATCAGAAAGGTCAAAGCTTGCTGACAGCTAGTGCATTTGAACATCATCCTGAGACTTGACCAAAATTTCATGGCAATGACCACACAAATAATGACACGTTTACTGCTTATAGAGTGCTTATAGAGCTTTGTGACACATTTTTCTAATACTCCTAGGGAACCTAAATGGCACATGTTATGATGCCCTCATCCTATGGAAAAGGACTCTGAGGCTTGGGAAGACTGAAGCCACTTGCCCAGGGACACCCAGACAGGAAGTGGCAGGAATTTGATTCTACCCTGGCTCACTCAGCTTCCAAAGTCTAGTGTCTGCTGCTATGGCTAGAACAGGATTTGGTTCCAGAATTCATGCAGAACATCAAATCCCAAATTCATAAGTCAATGATACTAAGAAGGTTGTAACTGAATCCAATTACATGTGTTTGACACGTGGTATCATTGACACCTGCCACTTCAGCAGACACCCACCCCATGGGGCACCCCCTCCAGAACCATCAGCCCAATAAACCTCTCTTTCCTTCATGACTAGCTTGTCTCCTGTACTGCTTTTTAATACCGTCCAGTGCTGACAACTGAATGAATGAAAAAACAAACAAACCAAAAAAACCCACAAAAACAAATAAGGTGGAGCTGTTTAATAGTCCACAGAATCTTTTATAACTAACAACAATCACATGAACTGCACTATTGCCTTGCAGTACAGTGCTGGCTCTAAATGAACACTAATGATAACTAACAATGGTTTCTGATTGCTACTGAGAGTGGCTACAGACTCTCTTGGTTATTTTATAGATAAGATAACAGAGGCTCACTCAAAAAAGTAAAACGGGGTGAGTGTTCAGGTGAGTGATTTAGAGGGTGGTTAAGATACCCACAGCCAAATACTGGAGTACTGGAGTTCTACAACCAACCCCATTCCTTACTTCCAGATTCTTCCTACTGCAGATCCTGGGAAGCAATGATGTGGGTTCAAGTGAATGAACTTCCTACTGCTCACATGGGAGACCTGAACTGAATACACAGCTCTTGGCTTGGGTGCTCAATCCAGTTCGGGCTGTTTTGGGGAGTGACAGCTCACCTTGTCTTTTCTCACCTTGTCTGTCCCTCAAAAAAATTTACAAAGCATTTTAGGGGCGAGTGCCATGGCACAATAGGCTAGCCCTTTGTCTCTGGTGCCGGTTTCCCCTTTGTAGGCAGTGGTTGGAGTCCCAACTGCTCAACTTCTAAAGCAGCTCTCTGCTTACCAGCTGGGAAAGCAGCAGAGGACGGCTCAAGTCCTTGGGCCCCTGCACTCATGTGGGAGACCTAGAAGAAGCTCCTGTCTCCCCACGTGGGAGATCCAAAAGGAACTTTTGGCTTCAGATTGGCTCAGCTCTGGCCATTATGGACATATGGAGGGTGAGCCAGGGGATGGAAGCTGTCATTCTCTGTCTCTCCTTCTCTCTCTGTAAAATCTGCCTTTCAAATAAAAGTAAACACATTTGTTTAAAAAAGCATTAAAACGACAAGTAAGATGGCTTGCCTAAGGTCACTGACATGCCTCGATTACATCCTAGCCTGTTTGACTTCCTAGGCTTATTATTTTTACTAAGGCACAATTCATAGTAGAAATCTAATACCTTTTAAATTTTGGTCAATAATGGCAAAACTAGATTCACAGCTAAATCATTTGGCTCCACAAAGTCTGTAAAAAAAAATATGGAAGTCACTATGAAACGCGGTCCAAAAACCCAACAATCAGATGGAAGCACTAAAATTCCACACAGGGATGGAATTAGTCACCCAATTCCAAAGGGAGCCAGCAATGAAATCAAAACACTGCAAATAAATGCTTTAAGTAGGAATGTGAGAATATATAGAATTACAGTGGGGGGTAGAAGTAAGCTCAGGAAGACAGGACCACAGTGCCTACTTCACAGGTTATGGCAAGGATTCAATGAGACCCTGCATAGAAGACACTTGGATACACCGAGAGTGTCTGACACACTATAACAACTGAGTCATGCCTGGCTGGCATCATTGTTCTGATTCCAGGGCCCCAAGAAAGCTTCTGTTACAATGTGCTGCCTCAAAACTTGCCCTTAGAGAGAAAGCTCTAACAAATCCTGGTTAGGAGCGCCAGTCCCACTCTAGTCTCCAACAATTGAGTTTTTGCACTATCTTGCAATTAGCCCACAACCGGCCTTTGGAATTAGCTCAGGCTAGAATGTAAACTCTGACATTGACTTCTTGGACATTCTGGGGCAATATACGTTACTCTTCTGACCCTCAGTTTCCTCCTTTTGAAAATGGATAGGGGCCAGTGCAGTGGTGTAGCACACTATTTCCCCACCTGTGGCACCGGCATCCCACATGGGCACCAGTTCATGTCCCAGCTGCTTCACCTCCCTTTTGGCTCCATGAATATGGCCTGGGAAAGCAGTGGAGGATGGCTCAAGTCCTTGGAGCCCTGCACCTGGGAGATCCAGAAGAAGATTCTGGTTCCTGGGTTCTGATCAGCTCAGCTCCATTCCAGCTGTTGTGGCTATCTGGGGAGTGAATCAGCAAATGGAAGACCCTTGTATCTCTCTTTATCTCTGTAAATCTGCCTTTCAAGTATAAATAAATAAATCTTAAAAAAAAAAGAAAATCGAAAGCACTAAATACCTCTTAGGGCATTTATATGGCATCCATGAGCTCATGTTTTTGTGACAGAAAATGGCAAAGAGGACATGTGCAATATATCACAATAATGTTTTCTGATTGTGGATCAGAACTTTATCACTTCCCTCATTCTCCCTTCCCCTAGCCGTATTGGCAAAGATATTTCTGTAGTCCTGGGGAGTGGAATCAACCACTGAAAGATGGATCTACTGTTAGTTATGCCAAAAATATCAGCATTTTCAGACTGTATGCCTGATGATCATATCTTGAATTATGCACTCACCAAGACTATGCCATTTTAGGGAGGATCATGTGGGCACAGTCCTTTTTACCTAACCTGAGCAGTTTCTAGAAAGAACTTGAGAGTTTTGGAAAAAATTCTACCGTCACTGCTTTCTAGCTTTGGAGTACATTATAAAATGCTTTGGGCAGGGGATCTAGTATTCTATTTCCATTTTGGGCTCAAAATAACCTTAAAGCTGATTGGTATTCTTTGAGAAAACAGTAGACAGCAGAGGTTAATATGGAGGAAGTAAGAGCTGACTGTATGCAGGAGAACAGTCAAGATTGAAAACTGATGTCAAAACTGCCTAGGATTAGAGATGTCTAGTAGACAGGGCTTGGTAGAAGCTACACGCCCAAGAAATGAAAGCTGCTGTAGTAGGAGGGACCCAGCAGTCTTAGTCCACTATAAGATTGTGGCCCACTACAAGAATAGATCCTCAGAGTTTATGTTTTGGGAAGGAGCAGGCTATCTAATGAAGACCATAAAGAAAATTTAAGACCTTCCTGAGTCTTTAAGAACAAGCAAGGGACCTGGCGCAGTGGCCTAGTGGCTAAAGTCCTCACCTTGAACGTGATAGGATCCGATACGGGCGCCGATTCTAATCCCGGCAGCTCCACTTCCCATCCAGCTCCCTGCTTGTGGCCTGGGAAAGCAGTCGAGGATGGCCCAAAGCCGTGAGACCCTGAACCAGCATGGGAGACCTGGAGGAAGTTTCTGGTTCCTGGCTCTGGATCGGCGCAGCACTGGCTGTTGCAGTCACTTGGGGGTTGGGTAGTGAAACATTGGAGGGAAGATGTTCCTCTCTGTCTCTCCTCTTCTCTGTAAGTCTGACTTTGCAATAAAAATAAATAAATCTTAAAAAAAAAAAAAAAGAACAAGCAGGGGTGGATATTTGGCGTAGCAGTCAAGATGCCATTTAGGATGCCTGCTTCCCATTTCAGAATACCCAGGTTTGATTCCCAGCTCTGCTTCTGATCTTAGTTTCCCGCTAATGTGTTAATGTGCATGCTGGAGGTAGCAGGTGATGACCCCAGTACTGGGTCTCTGTCACTTGTGTGGGAGATCTGACTGGAGTTCCCAGCTCTTCAGCATTCAGGGAATGAAGCAGAGATCGGGAGCCTTTCCTCTCTCTGTTTCTTTATGTCTGCTCCTCGAGGAAGTCACAATTTTATAAGCAAAAAAATATAAATGAAGTAAAAAAGCAACAACAGAGCAGCAACGTTCTCCCCTCCTCTCCGTGCTCAGTAAAGGCAGGGGGCCAAATGCCACAAGCAGCTCTGCTGGCCCCTCGGGCTTCACGCTGGCCCTCTTCCGGCTGTACGTGACACAAAGTATGTCAGACACAGGGCTTCAGGACAAATGCCTGGTTTCTATCTTATGACTTCACTCAGGGAAAAAGTGAAACTTACAGCCCTATGGAAAGAGTTCTGGGCAGGCCAGTCCTTACTAGATGACTGAAGAGCAGGGGAATGAAATCCAACACTTGGAGAAGGAATGAAAGTTCCCCTGAGCAGCTCAGGTTTCCACATCTCAGCTGATCTCTTGGAATTTAGTTGAACATGCAGGTGTTGGGGGCTGGCGCAGTGGCATAATAGACTAATCTTCCACCTACATTGCTGGCATCCCTTATGGAAGCCAGTTCAAGTAATGAAAGCTCCACTTTCTATCCAGATCCCTGCTAATATACCTAGGAAACAGTGGAGGATGGTCCAAGTCCGTGGGACTCTGTCCCCATATGGGAGACCTAGAAGAAGCTTCTGGATCCTTGCTTTGGATCAGCTCAGCTCCTGCCATTGTGACCATTTGGGGAGTGAACGAGAAGATGGAATCTCTTTCTCTCTCTCTCTCTGTGTCTTTCTGTAGCTCTTTCAAATAAAAACAAATGTAAAAGTCTTTAAAAGAAGAAAGAAAATGCAAGGGATAGCAAACAGAAGCTAGAACATGTCAAAAGAAGGGGCTTACTTGTTTGTTCCTTTTGTGTCCTTTGATTCCTCTACCAGTCTGTTCTTTTCCATGCCTTTAGCAAGACAGACAAAAAGTGATCATGAGAAACAAGGAATCTGCAGTCCCATTCAATTGTTCATCGCCTCTAAATTTGACCTCCTAGAGTTAAGACACCAACCACCCCCATTCCCACTTTTCTACCTCCCTATTCCTTCACCCTGGCAATGTTCTCATTGCCAAACTCCTAATCTTTATCATTTTTACATTACACTGAATTGCTCTACAACTCAAGTCTTCCTATAGGGCAAAAGCTCATTTTCAGTAACATATTAAATTTATTTATTGTATGTTTGTTGAACTAGATGTAACATGGGTTTTCAAAGTGGGAAGTCATCAAATGCCTCCTTCCTTAATAAAAGGGTTCAACAGCTGAGCCATTTCCCCAAGGACTCCCTGACTGGCACTAGCTCAGAGCACTCTATGTGAATACGTACCCCCTTCCTGGCCCGCCAACAGACACCACTTGCATGCCAAAGGATCCTCGGCCCCTGGAGGATCTGCTGCCAGCCCATTGGCCCACCACCATCCCGGCAATCTCCAGTTTTCCTCCTTGGGTTGGGATGGGATGGAGACCTGGCGAGAAAGGAACAAAGTCAGTTATGAATGCAAAGTGCAATGCAGAACAAGACATGAGAACATGGGATCCTACAGCCCACTTACTCTTCATGTTTCCATGTCCCTTTGATGAAAAGACTGTGATAACAGTGAGGGATCATGATGACAGCAAACGCAGGGCTAAGGGTTGAAGATCTGTACACGTTCACTTTAGCAAATGGGGTGTGGATTATTCATTTCTCAATTGCAGGGCCTGACACACAGTAGCAATTTAACATTTGCTCACAGATTCAAGTGTCTTAGAAAATTACAGGCCAAAACCACATTGGCATAAACACATGTCCCTACACACACTGTAAAATCAGCTGGACACCAAATTAAATTGAAGATAATGGAACTAAACTAGCAGTCATTTATCGCTGAAAAGCAAGCATATCAAACAACAGTTGAAGGCCAGAAAGAATTCAAGACAATCTCTCCTGAAGCCAGACGAAATCCCAACTCTGCATGTATAAACTCAAAAGAATGCTTGAGTTACATAAATTGGAATAGAAGTGAGTCTTCATGGCACACAGAAGAATTCTAGTAGGCTTTTAATTTTAGTTGATGGAAAGAAATCAAATGTTAACCACCATTACGCCATTGAGCATGTAAACAATGCTTGGTTTATGTAAAATTGAGAGTTCAGGAAACAAGGAAGTATTCCTAAGAGGGACAAGAGCTCTGCATTTGGGGATCTTAGCATGGCTTTTCAGAAGGCAGGCAAGAAGGATCTTGTGAACCACCAGCACCTGGAAATCAAACATCACTGGTGGCATGTTTATTTTCCCTACTAAACTGCAACCCTTTGAGGGGCATGTATGATGACTTCTTTCTCTCCACAAATCTGAAAGTTGAAGGAAGGGACAACATGTCAGATCTACTCCCAGAGTGGAAATGGGCACAGGGAGCTATCAACGCTGGCCATCAACTCCTGTTGCTCTTCTTGCAAGCTCCTGTGTGCATCTGCCTACAGAGAATGAATACATTAAGAGCAGCCATGAAGATACCGTTCATACGAGTCATAGATATTAATAAAGTCACTCCTGGTTTCCGCATCAGTGCTTGCCTGAGCGTGGTTGGTGAGAAGCAAATGCTTGGGGGCCAAAGACCTCCACAGATAGTGGACTGGGAATCCAATGGGCTTTATTCTCCACCCTCCATGTTGGTAAGCTGTTCACTTGCCTGCCACAACCCAGGATGGAAAGTAAGCGAGAGAAGACACAGGTGAAACTGCTACTATGATACTTGGCAAGAATGACTGCATGGGTTATTATAAAAGAAACTGAGGACGACAAATAGCTCATTCTGAGGTACTGACCTGCAAAGCCTCGGCTCCTTCCTTGAGCGTGAGGTGGCATTGAGCCCATAGCTCGGGAGTAAAGTGAAACAGGGTAGAGAGGGGGCATCATAGGAGGCACAAAAGTAGGTGATGGAAGTAGAGCCGAAGGTGGTGGATGGTTCATGTTGACTCCTTCAAGGATACTCTGTCTCATCTTTTCCACTTTGGTTGCCAGGTCAGCCTTCAAACGAGGAACAAAATAACAGCAACTGCAATTTTATTGCCCCTCTCCCACGCTTCAGGCCCGGTGCTGAACATGCTAGGCACGCTCTCACAATTCTAGTCCCATGAAAGGAAAACTTGAGGCTTGGAATAAAGTGGGCCAAGCTACATCCTCAGGAAGTCTGTGTGGCTCAAAAGCCCCCAGTCTCCACAGAAGCCCACACTATGATCCTATCAGTTGTGACCATGGCCTTGTGAGGCACATTGACTAGGAAAAGAAAGGCAAATGTAACAACAAGGACTTATTGGTGATCTAGTACATGGTCAGCAATGGACTAAGTCATTCTTTTAATGAAAGAGGTAAAAGACTTGCAAGAAAAAGAGAGAGAGAGAGAAAGTGAAAGAGACCATGAAGTGCACAAAGCCTTTTAACCGTTTTCCCCATACCCCGGATTGAAGACCCTGGGCTCTGTCCAGGGTAAGTCCATACCTCTAGTCCAGAGGTCAGCAAACTTCTTCTGAAAAGGGTGAGATAGTAAATATTTTAGGTTTTAGGGGCCATGTTGTCTCTGCCATTATAGCATGAAAGCAGTGTAAGTGAAAATGAATATAGCTGGGTTCCAATAAAGCTTTTTTTTTTTCTTTAACAAGTACAGGATGAGCACTATTTAAAAAGCAAAAACAGGGGCAGGCTGGGTATTTTGCCAACCCCTGTCCTGGTCCCTCAATCCATTCCTGCCAAATGGATAAAGGAATAAGGAAGGTTCCCTTTCCCTTGCCTTCCTTCACCTTTCCCAAGGGGGCCCTGCCAACCAGTCAGCCTCTACTCCGCACGTGCTTTTCACTAGCACCTTCTATTCTGAAACACAGTCCCTTTAGTCACAACAGCATCAATGCCAAAGTGACTTAACAGTGGTTTTTGTAAATAAGGGAAATAAAATCCCCAAACTGGGAGAGGCATACGAGTATATCTGAGTAGTCCATGGGGAAGAAATCTGTACCACAAAAAACAGAGGGGCACACGAAGACTTTCAGCTCATCATAACTTTTCCTGACATCACAATTTCATAACATATATTCAGACTGCAGGCTCCCCGCCTGTCCCTCCCGTCTTTGCTCCTCTCCCTTCCATGCCATGCATCCCCGCAGCAGACCACATAGGGACCTTAGCCGCCACCTCCAGCATGCCGGTACCTGGCCGTCACAGAGCTCGACCAAGGACACACGTTCTCGGCCTGCTTTAATGAGCTTGCTCTGGAACAGCTTGCCGTCGAAGTAAATCCAGGGACAGCAGTGCTCCCAAGGCACTGGTTGGCCACAGGCGTCATTGGCAAACAAAGCTGTGTCGACCCCACTCATGAAGAGAGCAGCAAGTTGAATCCCTCGGGCATCCAGTTTTTCAATCTGAAACAACCACAAGGAAAAATCACTAGTGAGAAACTACTACGAAAAAGGAAGGAAGGGGCCTGGTACAGTAGCGCAGTGGTTAAAGTCCTCGCCTTGCACGCATCCCATATGGGTGCCGGTCCTAATCCCGGCAGCTCCACTTCCCATCCAGCTCCCTGCTTATGGCCTGGGAAAGCAGTGGAGGATGGCGCAAAGCCTTGGGACCCTGCACCCACGTGGGAGACCTGGAAGAGCTCCTGGCTTCGAATTGGTTCAGCCCTGGCTGTTGTGGCTGCTTGGGGAGTGAATCATCAGAGGGAAGATCTTCCTCTCTGTCTCTCTTCCTCTCTGCATATCTGACTTTCCAATAAAAAAAAGGAAGGGAGAAAAGAAAAGAAAAGAAAAGAAAAGAAAAGAAAAGAAAAGAAAAGAAAAGAAAAGAAAAGAAAAGAGAAGAGAAGAGAAGAGAAGAGAAGAGAAGAGAAGAGAAGAGAAGAGAAGAGAAGAGAAGAGAAAAGAAAAGAAAAGAAAAGAAAAGAAAAGAAAAGAAAAGAAAAGAAAAGAAGCCAGCCCATGCAGGCATAAGTTTGAGTCCTGGCTGCTCCATTTCCAATCCAGGTCCCTGTTAATGTGCCCGGACAAGCAGTGGAGGATGGTCTAAGTGCTTTAGCTCCAGTACCCAGGGGGACGCCAGAAGAAGCTCCAGGCTCCTGACTTCAGAAAAGTCCAGTTCTGGCCACTGTGGCCATTTAGAAAGTGAACCAGCAGATGGATGATCTCTTTCTCTGTCTCTCTTTCTCTGTAAATATCCCTTTCAAATAAAAATAAATAAATATTTTTAAAAAGAGTATAACCACTCAAGAGAAACCACTAGTTGAGCATTTGAAAATCCAGAATCTGGAATGCCTTGAAACGTGGCACTCTCAGAGACTGGCATGACCACAGAAGGTTGTAAACAAAACGTAGGCACATGTAAAACATTAGCTAAAACTACCGTCAGCCCAGGTGTCCCAGGTATGCGCAAAACATAAATTCTGTATTTACACTTGGGTCCTCAGGCTGTTATATTAGGTATATGGGAATGTTCCAAATGCAAACAAACAAACAAAAAACTGAAATCGAAAAATATTCTGGTCCCACACTTTACAAATAAGGGATAGCCATTCCGTATTATTTTTTTAAAAGATCTATTTATTTTTATTGGAAAGTCAGATATACAGAGAGGAGGAGAGAAAGAGAGGAAGATCTTCCGTCCGATGATTCACTCTCCAAGTGAGTGCAACAGCTAGAGCTGAGCTGAGCTGAAGGCAGGAGCCAGGAGCGGGGCTGCTGGGAAGCGAACATGCGCCCACATGGGATCCTGGTGTGTGCAAGGCAAGGACTTCAGAAGTTTTGCTACTGCGCGGGGCCTACCAACCTGTATTATTACTGACCACATTTGCTGGTACTCCTCTCCTGCTGGCTATCCTAGCTCAGCCTGAGCATGCCACACTTCCCTATTGACATACGAGTGCAGCAGTGGCTTCTGCCCATGCTGTCCCCTGAGATGATGGCAAAGACGCTTGCCAGCCCCCTAGAAGGGAAACAGCCTCTTTCTAGGAACACTGTCTTCTTGACTGCTCCTGCTTCAAGCTCTCTTTGTAAAACTGGTGACTCTTTGCTCACCAGGCCTGTCAAACTGCATTGTCTTCACATTTACTATGGCACACAGGCAAGCACCACACCTACTCACTTACGTCAAATAATAATGAAACTAATGATATGAATGCAAACTGATATTTCATCAATAAAAATTACACTAAAATGGAAAAAAAAGATATGAACAGGAGACCTTTCTTCTGCCTGTAAAATTAGAAAATATTCAAAAACAATACTCAGTGTTGATGAGTGTATAGTGAAATAAACAGACACTCATATAAAGCTGATGAGGAAGCTATATTACAACTAAGAAACACATATCAAGAAACTTTTTAAGAAATATTTATTTTTGGGCCCGGTGTAATGGCCTAGTGGCTAAAGTCCTCATCTTGAATACACCGGGATCCCATATGGGCACCGGTTCTAATCCAGGAAGCTCCATGTCCCATCCAGCTCCCTGCTTGTGGTCTGGGAAAGCAGTCGAGGACGGCCCAAAGCCTTGGGACCCTGCAACCGTGTGGGAGACCCAGAAGAGGCTCTGGGCTCCTGCCATCAGATTGGCTCAGCTCCAGTCATTGTGGCCGCTTGGGGAGTGAACCATCGGATGGAGGACCTTCCTTTCTGTCTCTCCACCTCTTTGTGTATCTGTCTTTCCAATAAAAATAAATATATTTTTTAGAATATTTATTTATTTTTATTGGAAAGGCAGATCAGATTTATGGAAAGAAGGAAAGACAGAGAAAAAGATGTTCCATCTATTAGTTCATTCCCAAGTGGCTACAATGGCCAGAGATGAGCTTGATCCGAAGCTAGGAGTTTCTTTTGGATCTCCCACGTGGGTGCAGGGTCCCAAGGCTTTGGGCCGTCCTCCACTGCTTTCCCAGGCCACAAGCAGGGAGCTGGATGGGAAGTGGATTAGCCAGGACACGAATGGGTGCCTATATGGTATTCTGGCACTTGTAATGTGAGTACTTTAGTCACTGAGCCATCATGCCAGGCCCAATAGCAAATGATCTTTACTGTCAATCTTATAATAATTAAATGCCACATCAACAGAACCAGATTTTACTGAAAGTTTTTTTTTTAATTTAGTCTTTTTTATTTTTATTTTATTTTTTGTTTAGATCTTATTAGAAGTTTTGAGGCACAGAAAATATAGCTGATATCGACTGAAAACTCATACAGCTGTCTAGTAGTTATACAGGACTTGGTCCTACGGTCCCAAAGGCATCAAAATTCGCTGAAGCTAGCTTAAGTCCCTAAAAAAATATTGTGCAGTGCTTGCTCACACATCCTCCCATATCCTTTAAAGTGTCTCCAAATTATTGTATGATGTTGAACACAATGCAAATGCCATGTCAGTAACCACTTGATTTTATTGTTTAGGTAATAATGATAATAAAGGAGGGGCCTGGCAGCGGAGGGGCCCAGCGTGGTGGCCTAGCTGCTAAAGTCCTCGCCTTGAAAGCTCCAAGATCCCACATGGGTGCCGGTTCTAGCCCTGGCAGCTCCACTTCCCATCCAGCTCCCTGCCTGAGGCCTGGGAAAGCAGTCGAGGACCACCCAAGGTCTTGGGACCCTGCACCCGTGTGGGAGACCTGGAAGAAGTTCCTGGCTCCTGGCTTCAGATCAGCACAGTACCGGCTGTTGCGGCCACTTGGGGAATGAATCATCGGACGGAAGATCTTCCTCTGTCTCTCCTCCTCTCTGTATATCTGACTTTGTAATAAAAATAAATAAATCTTTAAAAAAATAAAATTAAAATAAAGGAAGCCTGTACATGTTGAATATAGATGAAATTTTTAAAAACAACCTATTTGAAGGGGCTGGCACTATAGCATATTGGGTAAAGCTGTTACCTGCAGCACAAGCATTGTATTTGGGTACCAGTTCAAGGCCTAGGTCGCTTCTCGGCCTTTTGGCTAAGATCAAGTGTAGCTCAAGGCCTGGGGCTCCACTTTCCATCTTGCTCCCTGCTGATATACCTGGCAAGCAGCAGAGGATAACCCAAGTGCTTGGGCCTCTGCTGCCCAAGGACCTGGGTGACCTGCTGGCTCCTGGCTTCAGCCTGGCTCATCACTGGCCGCTATGGCCATTTGTGGAGTGAACCAGTGCATGGAAGATTCTAATTCTCTCTAATTCTGATTTTCAAATAAATAGATCTTTAAAAAAAACATTGAAACTGTGTCATATAATGCAACATAATAAAAACAAATCTATTTGAAATGCGAAGTGAGGGAAACAGTGAGACACACACACTCATCATGCACCTGCTGGTTCATAGCCCAAATGTCCACAACAGCCACGGCTGGGGGAGGAGCCTGAAACTCCATCCAGTTTTCCCCTCACCATGTGAGTGGTGAGAACTCAGGTGCTTGGCCATCACCTGCCTGTTTCCCAGGAGGTGCATTATCAGGAAGGTTGATCAAAAGCAAAGTCGGAACCCAAAACAAACACTCTGATAACAAGATGTGCGCATGCCAAGAGATAGCTTAATCTGTTGCACCACAACAGCCATATCAAGATGCAGGTTTCTGCCCTGAGGATTTCTGACCCTTGGCCTGGCTGCAGAACCCACAGCCATGGAGTGCTGACTGTATACAATGACATAAAGTGTTTCAACATTGTGACTACTGCCTGACCAGAGTCTGGAAGAAAACATCAAAGTTGTCATGATACTGGTTATCTGAAATTGGTCCTGAAGCAGCTATTTTTTTTTTAAAGATTTATTTTATTTTCATTGGAAATGCAGAGTTACACAGAGGCGGGGAGAGAGAGGGGAAGAGAGAGAGAGAATCTTTCATCCACTGGTTCACTCCCCAGATGGCTGCAGCAGCCAGAGCTGAGCTGATACCAAGCCAGGAGTCAGGAGCTTCCTCCTGGTCTCCCAGGTGGGTGCCAGTGCCCAAGGACTTAAGTCATTCTCCACTGCTTTCCTAGGCTATTAGAAGGGAGCTGGACAGGAAGTTGAACAGACCGGACTTGTAGCAGTGCTCAAACGGGATATCAGTACCAAAGGCAGAAGCTTAGCTTATGATGCTACTGCAGTGGCCCCTGGGACAGCTGTTAGTAAGAGAAGTTATCTGCAGTCTGTAACTAATATCTGCTCTAGGACCAAGTAATATTACATTTATTGAAGAATGGAACCATTCGCTATTTTGCCTAACACTATTTTATCATTCCCTTAGCTGATTTAACATAAATTAAAATTTGGAGGCCTTATTAGGACCTCAAAGTACCTTGGCTATTTAAGTCTGGGGAGGAGTGTCTTATATTAATAGCCAACATATATCAAATACTGTGTACTTAAGATATGCAAGGAAAGGGCTCTGCATGATGGTTCAGTGGCTAAATTCTTGTTTTGCACGTGCCAGGATCCCATATGGGTGCCAGTTCATGTCCTGCCTGCTCCACTCGCCATCCAAATCTCTGTTTGTGGCCTGGGAAAGCAGTAGAGGGTGACTCAAAGGCTTGGGATCCTGCACCCATGTGGGAGACCTGGAAGAGGCTTCTGGCTCTTGGCTTTGGGTAGGCCCAGTGGCATTGCAGCCACCTGGGGAGTGAACCAGCAGAAGGAAGATTTTTCTATCTCTGCTTCTCTTTGTATATCTGTATTTCCAACAAAAACAAATGGATCTTTTAAGAAATTGTATAAGGAAGGCATCCTTTTACTTCATACTCTCAGTCCTGTATGCAAGGACACAGAAGTTAAAGAGGCTAAGTAACCAGCCCAAGGTCATATAGTCAGGATGTAATGACTTCAAATTCAAGGTACTTTGGCTTCAGAGCCCGTATCTCTGCTAGTGTACTTGAAAACATTTGTACAAAAATGAACTTTAGCTTGTTTTGGTGCAAAGAATTGAAATCTATTCATTTGTGCTTGTCACTTTGTTCTACTGCCTTCTGTTTTATGGAAGTTTTTTTTCTTATTTTTTTGATACTTTTTCCCATTGGATTATTAAAAGGAGGGCGTGTGATCATTAACTGAGGCACAAACAGGAAAACATTAGGACGAGTCCCCATGGAATGTCTTGTAAGGACAGAAACCTTACTGAAGTCTGTGGGCCATAATTCCTTTGCCTTATATGATATTCATTTTTTCTGTACATCTTTTCTGATGTGAATCCAACATTATGGGACAGTATAGCAAGCACCTGCATGACTAGACATAAATCTGTTTAGCTAAACACTATCATAAGCTTACCTGTAGAACTTACTCTTCAGTTTCAGGGAAAAAGAAACCCCAAAGTAGACCTATGAGCTCAGAAAAGAATATAAACGAGGGCAGACCAAATCACCTTGAGTTCTTGGAGTTGGTCTGGTTCATAAAGCTGTGTTGACACTGCCTGGGCAAGGAAGGTATCTAGCTCATGGCGATGCAGGATTCTGCCACCAGGCCACTGAATCATGTACCTAGAAAAAGACAACATCATCAGCAGGCAACAATAGCTTATGAATTAGATCAATCCATTAAGCTAATAACCTGTTAGGCTACACTTCCGGCTAGTACATTCCAACTGAGAATAAAAGAAGTGTTACCTGTGGTTACCTGCAACCTTGCTGCTACGTGAGACAGGCACTGTCAGTGACTAGATCAGTGCCTGGATCTCACACTCACACTAAGAGTCATGTAGATGAGGAGGAGACCATGGAGGGCTGTAACTTTAAGAGGCAGAGAAAGTATGCTGAGTCAGCACAAACTGAGTTTTAAAGGCTTTATGGTATTCAATGAGACAAAAAGTGGGGGAGGCTGTTCTAGGTTGAGAGAAGGGTATATATGCTGAGGCCGGTGCCATGGTTAGTAGGATAAGCCACCACTTCTGACACTGGCATCCCATACGGGTACCGGTTCTAATCCTAGCTGCTCTACTTTTGATTCAGTGCCCTGCTTAGGGCGTGAAAGCAGCAGAAGATGGCACAAGTGCTTGGACCCCTGCACCCACTGCTTTCCCAGGCCACAAGCAGGGAGCTGGATGGGAAGCAAGGATGCTGGGACAAGAGCAGGCACCCACATGGGATCCTGGTTCATGTAAGATAAGTACTTTAGACGTTAGGCTACCGTGCCAGGCTCACATATTTGCCTTTTAAAATGTTTGTTTATTTGTTTTTTATCTGCCTGTAAGGCAGAGTGAGAGAGATGGATCTTTTCATCTTGTTTCATTTCCAAAATGCCTACATCAATCAGGGTTGGTCCAGGCCAAAGCCAGAGCTCAGATCTCCATCTGAGTCTTCTCCTGGATTGTAGTAGTGTCTTGGTCAAGAAATAAAGAAAGCTTATGGAAACTTTGTACAGCATGAAAAGAGGAAATTTCTCAATTACTCAAGTTGAAGGAAGACTTCAGAATATCAAAGGAGTCAAAAGGATTTCAATGGGATAATAGCATAAAACTTTCTCTAAGAAGATACAGCTATCTAGATACAAGAAGGTCAGAGATCACCAGTTACATTCAAGTTCACTAGGTCTACCCCAAGACCTACTAAGCACGCTCTCCAAGCTGAAGAGCAGAGACTCAAGACTGCAAAATCAAGGAACATGCCCCAGTGTGCCCAACTACACCATTCGCAGGAGAGGCCTTGCTGGGCTACAGCGAGATGAGACATCCACATTATGGCTGGAAAACAAATTAGCAGTCAAGAACACTGTACCCAGAAAAGCTATCCTATAGAGATAAGGGATAGAAAGACAAAAGACAAGAGAGACATTATCTCTGCCAGACCTGTCAAAATAAGGCAAAAAAAAAAAAAAAAAAAAAAAAGTCCTTCAAAGAGAAAGAGAAACCAGTAAGTAAGAATAGCAAAGAAGGGATCCACGAATGTAGGTGTCTTGCCCTTGTCTTGGTCACAGAAAAGAAACAGGACAACAAAGGAAGGACAGTGTCTTCAGATTTACTGAGGGAGAACTTTATGGAAGAAGCAATGACACGAACTGGCACCCATATGGGTTCCCAGTGCTTGGAGCTGGAGGATTAGCCAATATAGCCATCATCCCAGACCTACTCTGCCTTAAAAAAAAAATCCTTTTTTTTTTTTTTTTTAACAAAAAGAGAATAATAAATGGCAAGAACCAAAAGAAAAATATTAAATATCAATTAAACAAAGAGATAATTCTTCAAAAGAATAAAAACATTGATAAAGTTATATAAATAAGAAAAAAGAGAGAAGAATTAAATTAAATTGATGACAAGATGGAAAGACAATGGTAGGTGGGCATTGTGGTGCACTAGGTTAGGTCTCTGTTTAGGACTTTGTACCTTCATATAAGAATAGCAATTTAAGTAACAGCTACTCAGCTTCTAAGCCAGCATTCCTGCTCATGTGCCCAGCAAGGCAGTGGATGCTGGCCTAAGTTCTTGTGTCACTGTCACCCTTGTGGGAGATTGGGATGGAGCTTGGTCAGGTTCCTGACTTTGACCTGGCCTAGTCCTGGTTGCTGCAGCCATTTGGGGAGTGAACCAATGGATGGAAGATCTCTCTGTGTTTCTCCCTCTCTCTGTCACTCTGCCTTTCAAATACATACATATATAATTGAATAAATAAGTCTTAAAACCGGATATTAGAGAAAAAGGTCAGGATCAAATGGCTTCACTGCAGAAAGTTAACCAAACACTGAGAGCTAACACAAACTTCTTTTAAATGATTCAAAAAATGTTTAGTAATGAGAGGGTCTCTTGGATATGTTTATACTTCTATGGAACGGGGGTCTTCCTATTTTTACTTGTTCAGGGTTAGAACCTGTGACAAATTAAACCTGTAAGCATCAAGTGGATTAAAATTACATCTTAGTAAAAATGGATAAAGATACAGGAAGGAAGAAGGAGGGTGGGGGAAACAAGGCAGTGATCAAAATTTATTATTTTCTTGGTCTCTATGTATGGAATGAATAAAATTCTGTTCTCTTTATAATAAAAAAATACTCCAGAAAAGAGGAGAGGAGGAAATTCTTCCAAATTCCTTCTATGAGATCAGCATGACCTTGACACCCAAACTAGACAAGGACTCAATACACAAAAAAAGCTAAGGTTAATACTCTTGATGAATGTGGATGCCAAAAACTTCAGCAAAAAACTAGCAAACTGAATCCAACAACACATTTAAAATATTATTCATCCCAAGGATACAAGGATAGTTCAACATTCATAAGTCAATAAATGCGATATTCTACGACAATAGGATGAAGGACAAAAATCATGTGATCATCTCAATAGATGTAGAAAAAATATGATAAAATTCAACATTCTTTTGTGATAAAAACAGAACAAATTAAGCACAGAAGAAACCTATTTAACTAAATAAAGGCCAAGTATAACAAACCAACAGCTAGGGCCCGCGAGGTGGCACAAGTGGTTAAAGGTCCTCGCCTTGCACGCCCGGGATCCCACATGGGCGCCGGTTCTAATCCCGGCAGCCCCGCTTCCCTTCCAGCTCCCTGCTTGTGGCCCGGGAAAGCAGTCGAGGACAGCCCAAAGCTTTGGGACCCTGCACCCGCGTGGGAGACCCAGAAGAGGCTCCTGGCTTCGGATCGGCATAGTATCGGCCGTTGCGCTCACTTGGGGAGTGAATCATTGGACGGAAGATCTTCCTCTCTGTCTCTCCTCTCTGTATATCTGCCTTTCCAATAAAAAATAAATCTTTAAAAAAAAAAAAAAAAACAAACCAACAGCTAGCATCATATAGAATGAGCAAAGTTTGCAGATTTTCTCTCTCAGATGTGAAACATGTCAAAGATGTCTCACCTTTATCTGACACAGAACTGAAGTCCTAGAGACCAACTCTGTGGTGAGTAAAGCTGCCACGTGTGGCAGTAAGATCCCTTTATTGGCACTGGTTTGAGTTCTACCTGCTCCATTTTTGCTAATGTGCATAGAAAAGCAGTCCAAGTGCTTGGACATCTGCACCCACATGGGAGACCCAGAAGAAGGCTTCAGGCACCTAGCTTTGGACTAGCACAGCTTTGGCCATGGTGGCCATTGGCAGAGCGAACCAGCAAACGGAGGCTCTCTTTCTCTGTTTCTCAAGTAGATAAATAATTAAAGCTTTATGTATTTGTGGAAGTACTGAAAGTCCTATAGCAGTTAGGCAAGAGAAACAAAATGAAAGCCATTCAAATTGGAAAGGATGCAGTCAAATTGTCAGTTTGCGACAACATTATCTAAAATATATATATATAAACCCCCAACACAAAGAAGTGATTAAAAAATGATCAGAATGATCAGATTCAGCAATGTTAAAGATTAGAGCATCAATGTATAAAAATCAGTACTGATATTATTCACCAATAGTGAGTTATCTGAAAAAGAAATCAAAGCAATCCGATTTTGTCCAACTCTAAAAATAAACATATCTTAAAGAATATATAAGACACTTGAGTGTGTGCTGGGCAGAATCAGGCTGGACTGCAACACCCATTGGTTCCAGTGGAAGACAGGGCTGGAAACAGAACCAACCCAGCAATTGCAACCACCAGCTGATCAAGGCGATGGACTGTGCTGGGCCCTGTACTTGCAAGTACACACAAGAATCTGGTCTGGGAACACCTCAGACAGTTTCTTTGGGGATCTCCCCAATTGAACTGCTGGACTCAGAACCCTAACCATGAAGAGAAGTGCAGGCTCCATGGTCTGCCAGGGAGTGCAAGTGCCAGAGCCGAGCCTCCTAAGAGGCTCAGACGGAGCAGTGGAGAGCATAACCAGGTGCACATGGAGGACATGGCAGTCCATCAGAACCTGCAGAGGATACCTGGCACCACAACAGAGGACAGAACAAATCAATCAACTACTCTAGCCATATGTTGGCAGTGAAAAACTGGGCAAACAGACTCTAAGGTGGACTATGTCAATCAGTGGATTCTGCAGTGACCTCATTGTGCTTGGATCAGTGAGATTGGCAGCAATTCATAAATTTCGAACTATCAAAACGACTTGAGCAAGACACTTGGAGCATGCCCCACATCAGGGACCTGGGCTGGGTGGGAGGCTGGGTGGGGCTTTCCCTGTATCTCCCCCTTTACCCCAGATACAGGGAAAAAAATGTGGAAATAACAATCTTACCCACTTTCCTGTAGCCCTTGAACCTTGGTGCCCTAATGAACTATGTAAAGATTGTCAAAGATAAAGAAAAATGGGAAGAAAAGAATATATAAGGCCCTCAAACGATTCAATAGCAAAAACCAAATACTCCAATCTTAACATGGACACACAATTGAATATTGCTCAGCCATATAAAAGAATGGAATGCTGGCATTTGCATCCAAATGAATAGAACTGCAGAATAGCATATTAGGTAAAATAAGCCAGACACAAAAAGACAATAATGTTTTTTCTCATATGTTCAAGTGAAAAAATAGAAAAAAGGATTAGTTAGACAAACAGGAACATTATAAAAGTGATTAGTAGGGGCTGGGAAGCTTGGAGGGGTGGCGGTAGGAGGGAGGAATGGAGGGAGGTTGAACAACAGGGATCAAAACACAGACAGAAGTTACTGATTCTAATGTTTCACAGTACAGGGATGGGGGAGCTCAAGTTCACCATAATGTATCTTACATCATACAGAGAAGCAGAAGAGAGGGGCTGACAGGCTGTAAACACAAAAAGGAGTTAAGGAAACAGAAAGTCACTAGTCAGGTTTGATCAGCGACATTGCATGCATGTAGTAAAATATTTCCCCTAACCAACAGAAATGTACGAGCGGGGCAGGCATTGCTTATGTCACCTGAATCCAGCATCAGCAATGATTTGTGTCTTGGCACCTGCGTTGCCAGTCCAGCTTCTTGCTAATGCTCACGCTGGGAAGTAACAGATGATGGGTCAAGGGCTTAGACCTTTACCACTCATGCGGGAGACAGGTGAAGCTCCTGGTTCCTTCCCGCGGCCTGGCCTGGCCCCAGCCATTGTGATCATTTGAGGAATAAACCAGCAGATGAGCTCCGTGTCTCTCACTCCCTCCCCCTCTCCCTCTCTTTGCTTGAATAAATAATTTAACTTTTCCCCCAAAGCTATTCTTGCCTACTTGTTTTTCTTCATGAGCTTTAGGACTATTGTCAAGTCACTTAAATTAATTTATGCATAAATCTCTGCTCTCAATCAGCCAGCATGACACACAGTTATCCCAAAAGCCCTATTAGCTGTACAAGTCAAATCACTGTTTTTTTTTTAAAGATGAATTAATTTATATATTTGAGAGGGGGATAGATCTTTCATCTACTGCTTCACCACCCAAATGGTCCCAATGGCCAGGGCTGGGCCAGGCTGAGGGCTGGAGCCTGGAACTCCACCCAGGTCTCCCATGTAGGTGGACTCAAGCATTTAGGCTATCTTCTGCTGTCTTTGGCAGGCTATTAATAGCGAGCTAGATCAGAAGTGAAACAGCTGGGACAGGTACCAGTGCTCCTACGGGATACCTGTGCCACAGGTGGTAGGTCACTGTGCTGTGCCACAACAGAGGCCCCAAACCACTGCTTGTTTCCCAGGAGAAACTCCTGAAGTTTACCCAGAATCCCTGCATAACATCATGCTCTATTGCTGGGAAGGGTTTCTGAATGAACTTTGGCTAGAAATGGTTAAGAGATTTGCTTCATGCCTTTCCACATTCAACAAGGTTATATCTCTGAAACCTAAAAATTTGGTCTGTATCTCTCACTCCTCAGTGATTATTTCTGCCTTCTTCAAAACTGTATCAGTCATTGCTAGAAGATGCCATTCCTATAGCCCAATTAATTGTTCAGAAGCTTTACCAACCTAAGTTGTAGTCATAAATCCTCAAGTACGGCTTTATTTTTATAGGAGGCACTTTTTTACCTTTAGTTAGAAAAGGTAACTAAGTTTTAACTCTCAGTACTTAACCAGGCTGTATTTTAGCATTCCTATCCAGTGCCCACATTCTTTGCCTAAAACTGAATTCTCAATTTCCAACCATATGTTATGCTAATTGTGTAACTGAATTTCCCTGACATTTTATATTCTTAAAAATCTTGGGGATTGATGCTAGGCTGTGGCATAGAAAATTAAGTCTCTGCCTGTGACACTGGTATCCCATATTATAGCTGGTTCAAGTCCACAACCAATCCAGCTGCCTGCTAATGGCCTGGGAAAGCTTCTGGTTCCTGGCTTTAGATTAGCCCAAATTCTGGCCACTGTGGCCATCTGAGGAGTGACCCTCTGGATGCAAGATCTCACTATGTCTTTCCTTCTCTCTCTGTAACTGTGTCTTTCAAATACAATAAGATGAAATAAATTCTAAAACAAAACAAAATGTAGGGATCACAAGTTGGAAAGACTTGAGTAAACTCGCTCACTAGCTAGGTAAGCCTCAGGAGTTATGGCTCTCCAAGTCTATTTCCTCATGCCAAAATGGAGATCAATACTTCCAGCTTTTCAGTGGCATTATGAAGATTAGAGTCATTATGCACAAGGGACTGAGTGCATGACCAGGGACAACAGCATGGGTAATATTGCAGCACTTCTGCATTATGAGTTTTTTTAACCCTAGGTTAACGATTTATAAACCATCGCTTCACCCTACGTTCAATGACCCTAGATGCCACTTTTTCTTTTGGGGTCTTCAAGCAAGAGCATCATCCTAGCTTTTATTCCCTGCCTCTAGGCAGTACGCCATCACTTATTACTGCTAACATTTAATACATTCTCCCCTGCCCCCTGGGTTGTGAAGATAGTTTTCTATATTTTAAAAATATTTATTTGGAATCCAGAGTTACAGTGAGAGAGGGAGAAGACAGCGAGATCTTCTATTCACTGGTTCACCAAATGGCCACAACTGCCAGAGCTGGCTCTGTCTGAAGTCAGGAACCAGGAGCTTCTTGCAGATCTCTGACATGGGGGCCATCCTCTGTTGTTCTCCCCAGCCATAAACAGGGAGCGAGATGGGCAGCAGAGCAGTCAAGACACAGATGACCACAGGGGATGCTGACACTTGGAGGTGGAGGACTAGCCAGGTGAGCCAGTGTGCCAGTCCCAAATAAATAAATCTTTTAAAATGTGGAAATACATCTTTAAAACCCAGGGGTAAGAGAGAATTTATTAAATGAGACTCCAAAGCATGTATCATAAGGTAGAAATGGATGGATTTGACAAAATCAGAAACTTCTTGGTGAGTGGAGATGTCTGCTGACAGCCACATTTATTTTGAAATGTATAGCAATAATTGTAATTTATTTCAAAAGATGGATGCTTAGACATACATATACATGTGATGTGAGTATTGTTATAAAGCAAGTATAATGAAAGTGCATGAGGTTTTTTAAAAAGTTTATGGAGAATGGAATTAACCCAAGAGTTTTAAAATTCAAGCATACTTTTTCTCATAATATGCACTCCATGGACTTATTGAACACTTCTCAGAATTTAGGTGAGGGTTATGTATGTTGATTATGATATTCTTCCAATTTTTCTGCTACTGTGACATTATAATAAAAGTTGAATAAAAATAAAATACTTCTGTGATATTATGACAAATCCAAATTTTACTTGTACACGGTTGCTGGTCTTCCCACTTATCCCACCCTTGCTTCTGTGCAGCTGACCACAAATAAATTCTCATTGACTTTGTCATATAATTCATAAAATCCTCATTTAAAAAAATGTTTTAAATGTAAAAGGCAGAAAGGGGAGCAGAAAGAGGTCTCCCATCTGCTGGTTCACTTCCTAAATAGTGACAATGTAATGGAGACTATCCTATCCAGTAACATGCTACCTTCATGGCATTGTAAATTTCTATTTTTCTTCCTGTTGTTGATTTTTCATTTAAGGGGATGTATAGTAACTGTGAAATGGAGACTATCCTATCCAGATGTGAGGATACAAGGCAGTATATATCTCTACTTTCAGATCAAAGATGGATTCCCAATGAAACTGTTAACTATATCTTGACAATAGGATGCTGGACTCTCTGCCATTGTCCATGCCCGCAATGATGGACATATGACTGAGTATGAAGAACTACACTATGGTAATAATACAGAGGAACTCAGTGGGAGGAGGAGGGGGGAGGAGACTTGGGGAGGGGATAAGGGAAATCCCAGGGCCTATGGAATTGTATCATAAAATGATAATAATTAAAGAAAAGTAAAAAAATGAAGAAGAAGAAGAAGAAAAGTAAAGCACTATACCTTTCCTGGATAAAAGGGAACAGAATTACCAGATGAACAAACTTTTGTTGTGTGCATAGACACAAAGATGGCTTAAATACACACATGGAAGAAGGGTTGGAAGGACACATACCCCAGACACCCAGGAAGGGCTGACTGGACACGCAGGAGAAGGGAACCGGATGAGGCATGAGAGCTGAAGTGAACAAAAAGGAAAGAAAACTGAACACAAAACAGATCATACACTGACAGATCATAAGCTGAAAGTACCCTCAGTGCTTCCTTCGAGCTAACAAACAAAAGCACTCTCCCTGACTTGAAACACGGTTTTTTTTTGTTTTTTTTTTTAAAAAAAGATTGTATAAAGAAAATACCAGAAAAGCACATGTGAAAGGAACCAGCCGCCTCCCAGTCATGTGGCTTACCTAAGTACACAGCACATGAGCAGCAGATGGGTGGGAACGTTGGCTGGGTTAAGCATGCTGGGTGTGTCTGACTTCATGCAGGCCAGGAAGGCCCTCATTCTTCGGTTCTTGTCTTCGACGGCTTTGCCGAGCCAGAGTTTCTTGAGGTTTGGGCAAGTCCATTCCCGGAATGTCAGCGCAGACACAAGCTCAGGGGTTTGAGGTGACTTGCCTTTGTAGGCAGACCACTCCTTAAGGATCACCGAAGGAACTGGAAAACAGAAATTGAGCAGAAAAAAAAAAATGGCCAGAGGCCATTCTCTCAGTATTTCTGAAACTGATCACATTTCAACATGTCGTAATTTTTTATCAACCATATCTTTTGGAAAATGCTTTGTTAACAATACTTACACATGTGACATTTCAACACTCATATATAATATGACTATCATTTTTACTGTTAGCAATAGTAACACCAAGAATAGGAAGCATTACCTGTTTGACACATGCTAAGCAGTTTACATCTCATCTAATCCTCAGGGAATCTCAGAACTATTATGACGTTATCACAAAACACAGTGTTCCTTTTGTGGATGAAGAAATGAGGGCCCGATGTCCACTGTTCTTCATTAGCAGAGTGGTCATCCAACGGGAGAACATGTTCTCTCTTTCTCTTCCATTGAATTATATAAACAAAATTTTATTTTGTTTTTTTTTTTTTTATAAAGATTTATTTTTATTATTTTTTATTGGAAAGGCAGATATACAGAGAGGAGAGACAGAGAGGAAGATCTTCCGTCCGATGATTCACTCCCCAAGTGAGCCGCAACGGGCCGATACTATGCCGATCCGAAGCCAGGAGCCTCTTCTGGGTCTCCCACACGGGTGCAGGTTCCCAAAGCTTTGGGCCGTCCTCGACTGCTTTCCCAGGCCACAGGCAGGGAGCTGGAAGGGAAGCGGGGCTGCCGGGATTAGAACCGGCGCCCATATGGGATCCCGGGCGTGCAAGGCGAGGACTTAACCACTTGCGCCACCGCGCCGGGCCCTATAAACAAAATTTTAAAAGAAACTCATTTCAGAGAAAAATAAACTAATTTCCTAAGAGTATCTATCAGGCTGGGCAAAGAAAGAAGCATAAAGAGCTTAAGGAATCTCACAAAATTCTCAAAACTAACATTTTCTTCCTACTTGTAGTACATCCGAGCTTCCAAAGATGGAGCCCCAGGGGTCAGCCTGGCCTCTTGCTTCTCTCACTTCCTACACACCTGCCTATTGTCACGGTCCTACTGACTGCCCTCTTAGCAGCCTTCTCTCTGTCCCCTTAATTCCATCACAACAAACACTGTCATGGTTCTTTCACTTTCTGAAGTCTCCAGCTGGAAGGTTCCTACTTTCACCCTGTCTGGTGCCCACCTCACATCCATTGCTCTAGAGCATTCGTTCAGAAAAAAGAAAGTCTTGGTTTGAAACAATTATAGATTCACAGGGAGTTGCAAAAAAAAAAAATAATAATGGTGGATTGAGGTCTTAGATGCCTGTCACCTACTCTTCCCAAGGGTTAGATTTGGAATGATTATAACATTGAAGCCAGGAAATGGACACTGGGACAACATGTATGCAAGGCTCCAGATTGTACAGACTCATGTAACCTCCACTGTAATTGGGCTACAGAACTATTGCACTGTCACACCCAGTGCCTTCTAGTATCCTCTAACTCACACCAGTAATCATCTCCATCTCCATTTCCACCAGTTCGCCATGTCGAGGTTGTTACATAACCAGGACTGTGCAATATGTGACCTTTTCAGATGGCCATGAAATTCACTCAGCATAATACCCTTGAGGGTCATTCACATGGTTTAATCAATGGTTCATTCCCCTTTTCCCTGACTAGTTTTCATGATAGGAATGTAACGGAGTTTCATGATCCACTGACTGAAGAATATCTGTGATGTATCCAGGCTGGGCTATTAACAAAGGTGCTTTGTGAACAAGCCCCTGCACAAAAATAAATCTTCAATTCTCTGGAATAAATGTCCAACCATGTCTAGGCTGGCCTGTATGGTAAGTTGATTTTTAGTATTGAAAAGGACTAATTTTTGCAAGTGGTAATCTCATTCTTACATTCCTACCAGGAATTTGTAAATGATTCAATTTTCTGTATGCTCGGACATGCAGATATTATCGTGTCATTCAGCATAGCCACTTTGAAGATTTACTTATTCTTATTGCAAAGGCAGATTTACAGAGAAAAGGAGAGACAGAAAGGTCTTCTATGCATTGCTTCATTCCACAAATGACCACAATAGCCACAGCTGAGCTGATCCAAAGCCAGGAGCCAGGAGCTTCTTCTGGTCCTCCCTTGCATGTGCAGGGTCACAAGATCTTAAGATATGTATCTTTTCCAGTAAAAACAAAATCCATGGATGTCTTTTTTGGCAATTTTCTAAATTATGTTATTTTTTAAAGTTTTTCAGAGTTTAAATATTTTCGATTTTAGTCTGGATGTATACTTGTTTGCCTATGGATATCCACTTGATTGACTATCATTTAAAAATTCCTCCTTCTTTTAAAGAACTGCTATTACAGCTTTTCAAAAATCAGTATGTATTACGGCTGGTGTTGTGGCATGGGAGGGGTGGGGGGAATCCCCAGTGCCTATAAAACTGTATCACATAATACAATGTTAATAACAATTAAAAAAAAAAAAGACACTACCTGAAAACAAATACATGGGGAAAAAAGAAAAAGACACCACTTGTAGTGTCAGACTCCTGTATTGGAGTGCTGGTTGGAGACTGGGCTACTCTTGTTTTTGTTTTTAAGATTTATTTACTTCTCTCACAGACTGATACAGATGTTGAGAAGCGCAGAGATCTTCCACCTCCGGATTCACTTCCCAGATACCTGCAACATCCAGTTGAGTCAGGCCAAAGCCTGGAGCCTCTGCTGCTGTCCTAGGCACATTAGTGTGGAACTGGATCAGAAGCAGAGCGTCTGATTAAAACAGCACTGTATCAGGCCTGGCGTGGCAGCCTAGTGGCTGAAGTCCTCATGCATGCTCCAGGATCCCATATGAGCACCAGTTCATATCCTGGCTGCTCCATTTCCCCCTCAGCACCCTGCCTGTGGCCTGGGAGAACAGTCGAGGATGATCCAAATCCTTAGGACCCTGCACCCACTTCGGAGACCCAGAAGAAGCTCGTGGGATTAGATTGGCTCAGTCTGGCCACTGTGGCCACTTGGGGAGTGAACCAGTGGATGGAAGATCTTTGTCTTTGTGTCTCCTTCTCTTTGTAAATATGACTTCCCAATAAAAATAAAGAAATCTTAAAAAAAAATAGCAGCACTATAATATGGGATGCTGCCATTAAAGCATTGTATTAAAGTGCTGCACCACCACAACAACCTCTGCTATTCCAATTCCTGCTAACAAACCTGGAAAGCAGCAAAGGATGACCTAAGTGCTTAAATTTCATTCATGTGGAAAACCTAGATGGAGTTCCTGGTCCCTGGCTTTAGCCTGACCTAGTCCTTGATGTTGCAAGCATTTGGAGAGTGGATCGGTGGCTGGAGGCTTCCACTCTCTCCCTCTTGCTTCCCCTCTTTCTCTGGCTCTCTATCACTCTGCCTTTCAAATAATAAACAGGATGAAAACAGAACTTTGTGTTGATGTCTCTGCCAATACAGAATAATTTTATTTAACTATGTAAGTCATGTAAGAAAGCAAGTTCAACTTACTCTTCCTTATCAATATCATTTTAGCTACTTTAAATTCTTTGTCTTTCTTTTTAAAATGATTTATTTATTTTTATTGGAAAGGCATATTAGCTTTATTCAGAGAAGGAGAGACAAACATCTTCCATCTGCTGTTTTACTCCCTAAATGGCTGCAAGAGCTGTGGCTCAGCCAATCCAAAGCTAAGAGTCAAGAGCCTCTTCCAGGTCTCCCACACGGGTGCAGGGTCCCAAGGCTTTGGACCATCCTCGACTGCTTTCCCAGGCCACAGGCAGGGAGCTGGATGGGAAGTGGAGCTGCCTGGACATGAACTGGAGCTCATATGGGATCCTGGAACTTGTTAAGTGTGGATTTAACCATTGAACCACCATCTCAATCCTTTGTCTTTCTATATAATTATTAGTATGATCTGGTCTATATAAAGAATTGTGCTGAAAATTTGATAGGAATTGTTTCAAACCTGTGTATTAATTTGGGGAGAATTTATATCTATGTTGATTCTTCTAATCTGTGAATATTTGTGTTTCTATTTATTTAGACCTCTGTGGATTTTTTCATCATTTTGTAACTTGATTGATGCAGACTTTGAGTATCTTTTGTTAAATAACTAAATAATTTTCTTTGGAGGAACTGTAAGCACTATGGTATTTTTTAAATTTCAGTTCCACATATTTAGTGGTAATATAAACATAATAAAATTTGAAATGTTTATTTTGAATCCTGTAGCATCAATAAACTATCTTATTAGTCCCAGAAGTTTCACTGCAGATTCCTTATCATTTTCTAAATATATTATATATAATTTGCAATTTTTTTCTTTCATTGTAATGTGTATGCATTTTATTCCCTTTTCTTACTTTATTGCTGCAGCTAAAACTCAGAACTCTATTGAAGAACAGTGGAAAGAGAAAACATCCTGGTTTTGTTCCTGATATAAAGAAAAAAGAAACATTTACTCTGTTGCCATTAGATATATTAACTGTAAGATTTTTTCATAAATATCATTGAGCATATTCCTTCCATTTGTAGTTTCCAGAGAATTTTTTATTATAAGTGAATATCAGATTTTGTCAAATGCTTTTTCTGAACCTATTGATAAAACTATGTGATTTTTCTTCAATTTTATATGATAATCCACACTGATTGTGACTGTGTGAACATTGAACCAGCCTTGCAACCATGGCCCTCCTCTGGCCACGATACATTACTCTTCTTATATAATGCTGAATTCTATTCCCCAATAAAAATGTTTAAGAATTTTGCATTGATACTGTCTTCGTCAATTTTGACTGCGATAACAAAGTGCCATAGACTGGGTGGCTGTTAACAGATGTCCACTTCTCATAGCTTTTAGAGGCTGAGAAGTCCAACCTCAAGATGCTGGCAGATGCATCTGGGAAGAGTCTGCTGCCTGGCTTGCAGGTGGTGGAACACAGGGACAGCCTTCTTGGGCCCACTGTCTTTTATCATCATCATCATCGTTATTATTATTATCCTCTTATGATATTGTTCCGTAGGCTCTGGAATTTCCTA